GGCACCACCACTACTGAGACACCAACCACAACACCAGGCACCACCACCACAGGGACCCCAACCACAACACCTGGCACCACCACTACTGGGATCCCAACCACAACACCTGGCACCACCACCACAGAGATCCCAACAACGACACCAGGCACCACCACCACTGGGACCCCAACAACGACACCTGGCACCACCACCACAGGGACTCCAACAACATCTAGCAGTGCCACCACTACTGGGATCCCAACTACAACACCTGGCACCACCACTAGTGAGACACCAACCACAACACCAGGCACCACCACCACTGAGACCCCAACCACAACACCCGGCACCACCACCACAGGGACCCCAACCACGACACCTGGCACCACCACTACTGGAACCCCAACAACGACACCAGGCACCACCACCACTGGGACCCCAACAACGACACCAGGCACCACCACCACAGGGACTCCAACAACATCTGGCAGTGCCACCACTACTGGGACCCCAACCACAACACCTGGCACCACCACTACTGAGACACTAACCACGACACCAGGCACCACCACCACTGGGACCCCAACTCCAACACCTACCACCACCACAACAGAGATCCCAACCACAACACCAGGCACCACCACAGAGACCCCAACCACAACTCCTGGCACCACCACCACCACAGGAACCCCAACAACAACACCTGGCACCACCACCACAGAGATTCCAACCACGACATCTGGCACCACCACTACTAGGACCCCAACCACGACACCTGGGACCACAACCCCAAGGATCCCAACCACGACACCTGGCACTACCACCACAGGGACCCCAACTACAACACCTGGCACCACTACCACAGGGACCCCAACCACAACACCTGGCACCACCACCATAGGGACCCCAACCACAACACCTGGCACCACCACTACTGGGACCCCAACCACAACACCTGGCACCACCACCACAGAGATCCCAACCACGACACCTGGCACCACCACCATAGGGACCTCAACCATGACTCCTGGCAGCACCCCCACAGGGACCCCGACAACGACACCAGGCACTACCACAGTACCCCCAGGTAAGCAGACACATGCCCTGCTCCTCTTGCCCAGAGCCTCGCCTACATTGGTTCTGATGTATGCTTGAGTTCCTTGTCCCCAGGAAGGTTGAGGGCTGCCCCATGTGCCTCCTTGCCTGGTGAGGCTCATCACTTGCTGTTTGGAGAATTTTGGCCTGTGGCCCATGTGGGCAGCAGAACCCATGTCCACTACACTTTCCACTAAGTGGCTTCCCTCAAGTGCCCTGCCTTGCCCAGCCCTCTGCCCACCACCTTGTAGGGTAGTATTATGGGCAAAGCCTATCCCATGGGAGCCCACCAGGGCTGTCTGGGGAAGGTGCTTCCTGGGACAGCCATGGACATCCTGCCTCCTCCATCAGTATCGCCCTTCCTTAGGCCTGTAAAGCCAACCAGCCTGGCACCTTGCAAATGTACCAGTGTCCTGTGGCTATTTATATCCAGCAGATTTGGCCAACAAGCTGTGGTGCTGCCAGGAGCACCTGCCTCCCTCTGGGGGTCTCCGTGTCACCACAAGGTGTATGGGGCTGCTTCAGCTCTCACCCCCACCTGTGGTCTCACAGGTACCCCCACCCATGGAACTACAACTGGGTCACCTCCACCTGCCTCTGGGTCGACAACCCCTGTGGAGACTCCCACCCGGACAGTCCGCCCATCAACCACGACTTCTAGCACCTCAGCCTCCACAGTGCCAACTCCCACGCAGACGCCAATCCCCTCCCCCAGCATCACTAAAATCACTGGCCCTTCGGTCAGCTCCTCCACCATGGTCATCTGCTGTGTCCTGAATGACACCTTCTATGGGCCAGGTACCTGGTGATTTACTTCTTTTACTTCTTTTTTTTTGAGACAGGATCTCACCCTCTTGTCCAGATTAGAGTTCTGTAGTGTCATCATAGTTCACTGCAGCCTCAAACTCTGGGGCTGAAATGACCCTCTTGCTTCAGCCTCCTGAGTAGCTGGGACTATAGACACCCACCACGATACTCAGCTATTTTTTTCTACTTTTAGTAGAGATGGGGTCTTGCTCTTGCTTAGGTTGGTCTTGAACTCCTGAGCTCAGGCGATCCTCCAACCTCGGCCTGCCAGATTGCTGGAATTACAGGCATGAGCCACTGCTCCCAGCCTTTGGTGGTTCACTTTTAATGCCTGGGTAGCTGAGGCTGCATTTGGTCCCAACTTTAATGAATAGGTTAGGAAGCCAGAGCCTGGCTGCAGTGGGTGTCTCTCCCCGTGCCCTCAATGGGGACCTGCCAGCTCTGGATTGTGTAAGGACTGGCTTGTGTCCCTTGCAGGCGATCTGGTATACAATGGCACACATGGAGACACCTGCTACTATGTGAACTGCTCACTCCAGTGTACCCTTGAGTTCTACAACTGGTCATGCCCATCCACGCCCTCCCCAACACCTACACCCTCGAAGCCAACGCCCATAGCCACGCCCTCCAAGCCAACACCCTCTCTGATGCCCAGCACTCTGTCCACCCCCAAGCCTCCTGGGTGCCCTGACTTTGATCCTCCCAGACAGGTTAGTGGGCTGTGGGCAGCTTTGTCCCCTGGGAGCCAAGTATCCAGGTGCTGTCTTCCTGCTGATTGTCCAAGGGCTAAAGCTTTCAGCAGCCTCTCAGATGTGGGGTCTGCTGAGCTCACCACTGCTGAGTCTGCCTGCTGTGCCCAGTGCGACATCTGATTGCAATGAGGCCGGTAAAGGCACTATTGGCCTCCAGCACTGGGCAGGCTCTTAGGCACTCAGGCTCTCGAGCAATCCAGTCCCTCCTGTGTGGGCACAGGGGGCCTGGTTGAGTGACTGCACCCTCCTGTCTGTAGGAGAATGAGACGTGGTGGCTGTGCGAGTGCTTCATGGCCACCTGCATTCAAGACAACTTGGTGGAGGTGGTGAAGGTGGAGTGCAAGCCCCCACCCATGCCCACATGCTCCAATGGCCTCCAGCCTGTGCGTGTCATGGACCCTGATGGCTGTTGCTGGCACTGGGAGTGTGACTGTGAGTTACACAGCTCCCTCTTCCCTTTCCTATGGACAGGCCTAAGAGCTGGGCTCCCTGGGCTTGGCTGACCTTGCTGCTGAGTCATGGGCTGGGCAAAAGAGGGTGGAAAGAAGGCGCCGCCTTGAAATAAGGTTGCTTCTGAGGAGAGGGGAAGAGTGGGCCCTTGGCCTCTGGCTCTGAAGCCAGGTCCTGTGCTACAGAACGGCCTCCCATGGTCTGAGGGGTAATAGCTTTTGGGGATCCCAGCTCAGTTGCCCCATGTGTCCCACACCCCAAAGCAGGGCATCCCCATGAGCCTAAGCAGCAGGGGCTGTGCGCAGCTCATGGAGTCCCCTCCACAGGCTACTGCACGGGCTGGGGGGACCCACACTATGTCACCTTCGATGGACTCTACTACAGCTACCAGGGCAACTGCTCCTATGTGCTGGTAGAAGAGATCACGTCCACTGTGGACAACTTTGGGGTCTACATTGACAACTACCACTGTGATGCCAACGACAAGGTGTCCTGCCCCCGCACCCTTATTGTGCGCCATGAGACCCAGGAGGTGCAGATCAAGACCACGCGCCTGGCGCCCCCGCAGGTGCAGGTACACAAGGAGCAGCGGAGGCTCTCAGGGCCCTGCTGGACATGGTGTGTGTGTGTGTGTGTGTGAGAGAGAGATAGAGAGAGAGAGGTGGGGCTCACTCAGCCCCATCACGTCTTCTCACTGCCTCTAGCCCCCTGCCTGCCCCTCCCCTCCCTGTGGACAGGGACTTCTCACAGCCAGTTGAGACCTGCCTACTGCATGGCAGTACCATTGACTCTGAGACCAAGAAAGATAGGGAGCTTGGCCCCAGAAGGAAGGCCAGGACAGAGGCCTCATGGACTGGCCTCTGGGACTGCCTAGGACATGGCTGCACCTGAGCCAGAAAGAGACAGGAAAGTGGGTGGGGCAGAGGTCTCTCCCCACCTGGTGTGTGCAGGCCTGAGAGAGAGTGGCCCTGAAGCTCCCCTGCAGTAGGGCTGGCCCTGCCCATCAGATGCATGTGTCCTAGAGAGTGCCCGGGCGCCAGGGCCTGGCAGATGCTAGAGGGTGGCCCCAGCCTCCACCCAGCGGCCCTCTGAGCCTGGTGTCTTGCCACAGGTGCAGGTCAACAGGCAGGTGGTGGCGCTGCCCTATAAGAAGTATGGGCTGCAGGTGTACGCATCGGGCATCAGCTATGTGGTGGACATCCCCGAGCTGGGCGTCCTGGTCTCCTATGATGGCCTGGCCTTCTCTATTAGGCTGCCCTTCCAGCGGTTTGGCAATAACACCAAGGGCCAGTGTGGTGAGTCTGTGGCCCATCACCCTGCAGTGAGCCTCCTGCACCTCTGCTTGCCGCTGCCATAGCCACAGTCATCTGTTTGGTCCCTGTGTGCAGCCAGCAGGGGTTGGCCTGGCCTCATCTCTGCTCTCAGCCCTGGCCAGCTGGTGTCCAGGGTATGGGGCTGTGGAAGGGGAGGGCTTGCTGGGTCTGCTGGGTAACTCAGGCTGGCACCACAGGGCCCCTTTTGCTGCTGCAGGTACCTGCACCAACAATACCTCGGACGACTGCACTCTTCCCAGCGGGGAGGTTGTCTCGAGCTGCGAGGTCGCAGCTGACTATTGGGTGGTGAACGATCCCTCCAAGCCGCACTGTCCCCACAGCAGCTCCACAACCAAGCGCCCTGCTGTCACGGTCCCAGGGGGCAGCAAACCGACCCTACCAGAGCATTGCACTGTGTCTCCTCTCTGCCAGCTCATCAAAGACAGGTGACCATGCCTGGCCTGATGTGGCCTTGGGCTCTAGCCAGCATAGGCTAGAGTGCACCCTCTGTGCCGGCGTCTACAGAGTGGGAGCTGCCTCCTCAGAACCCTCTGCCCCACCTCTCCTGCCTCCCCAATGGCTCAGAGTCAGCTGAGTGGTGGCCTGGGCTGGACTGGATGATCTGACAGAGCTTGAGTCTAGGGCTGGGAGAGGGAGGCAGGTTTGGGCCTTGACAGTGAAGGGGGAGCTGCCAAAGCCCCATCCCCAGAGGTGTGGGCATTGCATTGAGGCCAGTGGCCTCTGCCAGGACCATGGGAGGGGGACCTGGCCCCTGTGACCACTTGCACATGCAGTTTCTGTCTCCAGGAGCCGGCTGCAGTGTGCAGTGTGGCCTGACCTCTCCAGGCCTGTCCCTCAAGCCCTGGGTGTGAGCAGGCTCTGGTGGGGGGTAAACTGGGAAGGTACTAGGGGAGACTGTGGGCTGCTGCGTGTTGAAGCCCCCAGCCAGAGCATGACCTGCCCTCCCCAAACAGTGTGTTCGCCCCCTGCCACGACCTCGTGCCTCCCCAGCACTACTACGATGCCTGCATGTTCGACAGCTGCTTTGTGCCTGGTGTGGGCATGGAGTGTGCCAGTCTGCAGAGCTATGCGGCTCTCTGTGCCCGGCAGGGCATCTGCATTGACTGGCGGAACCACACCCATGGGGCCTGCAGTAAGTGCTGCCCAAGCTGCCCCGGCGGGGTGTCCCTGCAGGGTGCCATACACAGACTGAAGTCAGGGCTACAGGGACAGCAGTGGGGGACCAGGCTAGGATGGGGGCTGCTGTGGGGTCCCTGGGGAACACAGGCTCCTCCCTGACTGGCCCTCCTGGTACCTGTGTCCATCCTGCAGCAATGGAGTGCCCGTCCCACAGGGAGTACCAGGCCTGCGGCCCTGCAGAAGAGCCCACATGCAAGTCCAGGTATGCGCGTAGACAGTGGGCTAGAGGGTCCAGCATGCCCAGTAGGTAGCCCCAGCTGATAATGGCCTTCTGCCCCCCCAGCTCCTCCCAGCAGAATAGCACCAGCCTGGTGGAAGGCTGCTTCTGCCCCAAGGGTACCACAAGCTACGCCCCAGGCTTTGATGTCTGTGTGGAGATTTGCGGTATGGGCCTAACTCAGGCCACCTCCTCCTGTTTCCTCCTGGGTGCCCCCAGAGGCTGATCCCAAGACCCAGCCCACTAGAACTCTACTAACAGGACTTGTTTCTTCCCCCTTCCTAGGTTGTGTGGGACCTGACAACATACCCCGAGAGGTGGGTCCTCCCCCTTGGTGCTGGGAGGATTCCCCACAAATCCTGGATTTTAAGGGTGGGGGGGTAGTCATAAATCCTAGGAGCCTCACAGATGGAGTGTGAGTCTTTGAAGTGCCGGGAGGCTGAGTTAGCTGGACACTTACCCTGCCATCCCACCGTCCTCTGCCCCTCCCATCTTTTCCCCCTCTGTCCCCTCCCTAATCCCCTCTCAATCGTCTCCCCTCATCACCTCCATCTCTCCCCCATCCCCTCCCCCCACCTCTCCACTCCCATCTGCATTTGGCTTCCTCAGCTCAATTCTGCACAAATCTAATAGATTCCAGCAGTGCCTTTGGCATGTGCTAGGCTCTGGTGGCAGACACTGGTGAATAGTCAATGGTTTGGTGACAGTGGTAACTTGGGCCCCAAATGAGCAGCAACTGTCCTGTCCCAAACCTGCCCGGTGTGCCTGGAGGTGGGGAGGGACAGGGTTTTTCCAGATTTCCGAGGGGTGACCCCATGCAGCCCTGGGGCAGCAGTGAGGCTGGCTCCTCCCTTCCTCCCCCCTCAGGCTCCTTCCTCCACTTATCCCTTCCACCTTGCAGTTTGGGGAGCGCTTTGAGTTCGACTGCAAGGACTGCGTCTGCCTGGAGGGAGGTAGTGGCATCCTCTGCCAGCCCCGGCGGTGCAGTGAGCCGGGCCCCACCCACTGCATGGAAGACGGCACCTTCCTGGTCACTGAGGTCAACCCCGCTGACACCTGCTGCAACATCACCACCTGCAGTAAGGCCCCTCCCCTCACCCTGTCAGGGGTCCCTGAGCACACCCCTGCAGGCTGGGCTACCTCCCTCAGGAGTGGGGTTCCAGGACAAGCCCTGACAGGGGTTGGAGGTCGGGCCTCGCAAACCCATGCGGGGAGGTGGTGATGTGCTCCTTGGTGTTACCCTCACTGTGTACTCCTCCTCAGAGTGCAACACCAGCCTGTGCCAGGAGGCGCCGCCCTCGTGCCCACTGGGATTTGAAGTGCGGAGCAAGACGGTGCCTGGGAGATGCTGCCCTGTGTACTCCTGCGGTGAGCAGGGCGCGCAGGGCAGGGGGTGGGGAGGTGGGGTGGGTGGGATGGCTCCCAGGTCACACAGAACGCCACACGCACAGCCCCAAGTGCCCACCTGTCCACCAGGTGTGCGTCAGGAGCCTCAAGGGCAAGCCAGAGGGCCAGTACGGGACGGTTTCTGACCACTTTCTCTTTCTCCTTCTCCCAGAGCCCAAGGGTGTGTGTGTTCACAAGAACGCTGAGTACCAGGTGAGCCCAGGGCAGGGCTGCCCGTGTGGGGCGGGGTGGGGCTACCTGATGGGGGCGGGGCGTTGCCGAGGCCCGGGCTCTCTGGAGGTGGCCAGGTCCTGTCTCACTATCTGTCCCGCGTCTGAAGCCCGGTTCTCCAGTTTATTCTTCCAAGTGCGAGGACTGCATGTGCACCAGGCACGTGGACAACAGCACCCGCCTCAACATCATTGCCTGTATCCATGTGCCCTGCAACACCACCTGCGACCTTGTAAGTGGCGCCGCTCCCTGCCTCAGTCTTACCTCTTTCCTCCTCCCAGAAAAACACCTGAGCCCCAGTCCACTTCCACAGGGCTGTGTCGTGACCTTCTCTCTCTTGCTTTCAATGCTGGCCCTGGCTCGTCCCCATCCATGCCTTTCCTTGTGGGCCTGCCCCAAGTAGGGGTCCCACAGCCCAAGGCCCCATGTGGTGTGGGGGCGGGTCTGGGAGCTCAGCCTGCATCTGTCCGCAGGGCTTTGAGCTTGTGGAGGCCCCCGGGGAGTGCTGCCAGAAGTGTGAGCAGACGCACTGCATCATCCGCCCACCCCGTGGCGAGCACATCATCCTCAAGGTGCGCAGGGCCGAGAGCAAGGCAGGGTCTGCCCACTCCTAGCCACGGCTGCGAGGCAGGGGGTCTGGGCACTGCGGTAACAATGGCCACCACTGGACTTAAAGCACCAGAAATGGATTCTCCCAGTTCTCAGGAGTCTGAGAGCCAGGTGTCTCAGGGCCACACTCCCTCCAGAGGCTCCAGGGCATGGTTCCTCCTGTCTGTCCCAGCTCCTGGGGCTGCAGGCATCCCTGGGCTTGTGGCTGCCCCACTCCAGTGTCTGCCTCCATGGTCAGGGTCTTCTCCCCATGTCTCCTCTTCAGCTCTTGTAAGGGTTTAGGGCCACCCCTGCCCTCTTTGAGATCCTTCATGTAATGACGTCTTCGGAGACGTTCTCTCCAAGTCAGTTCACACCCATAGGTTCAGGGAGTTAGACAGTGGACAGACCTTTGTAGATTACATGGCCCCAGGCCAGCTCCAGTCCCAGTGGCTGCACCTGCCAGGTGTGTCCAGTCTGTTCTCAGGTCAGCCTCTCAGGTGGGCCTGCTGGCTTGCCCTCACTGGAGCCTCTGCCCCACAGCCTGGGGACATAAAGAGCGACCCCAAGAACAACTGCACGTTCTTCAGCTGTGTGAAGATCCACAACCAGCTCATCTCATCCGTCTCCAACATCACCTGCCCTGACTTCGACCCCAGCACTTGCCTCCCGGTGCGTGGCTGTGTGTGCTCTGCTGGGAGTAGGGGTCCCTGAGGTTCTAGGGGGCTCTTACCTGCCCTGAGCCACTCCAGGAATGCCCCCCACTGTGTTAGGAAGGGGGCTGTCACCTCAGTGGTGTCTGGGGGTCCCAGCTCACTCTATTTTCCCTTCAGGGCTCCATCACATTCATGCCCAATGGCTGCTGCAGGACCTGTGAGTATGCCCGGGGGTGGTGCTCACGGGCCCCCCTGGTTGGCCTGGGTGTGGGTTCAGGGAGGGAGCTTCAGGAGCCCTGTGGCCTCTGCACCTCCCACTCCAGTTTGGGTATTGAGGTTGAGGGTGTCCCCTGGGGTCACTGCTCAGGTGTAGTCCAGCTTGCAAAGGGCAGCTGGAGGCCCAGCACTTGCCCACGGGAGGGCTGGCCATGCTGGGAGGAGCGGGTGAGGATACAGCCTCGAACGTGTGGAAGCCCCATGCCCAAGCCTTCACCTCCTTCCCCTAGGTATCCCTCGCAATGAGACCAAGGTCCCCTGCTCCACCGTCCCTGTCACCAGGGAAATCTCACACGCCGGCTGCACCCAGAGAGTCACCATGAACGATTGCTCTGGATCATGTGGAACGTCTGTCATGTGAGTCTCAGGCTTCGCATGTGCCCTGGGCAGGGTGATGCTTGCACTGTCCCCAGGGAGGTGGCCCCTCACGGTGGTCCTCCTCTAGGTACTCTGCCGAGGCCCAGTCCCTGGACCACAGGTGCTCCTGCTGTAAGGAGGAGAAGACAAGCCAGCGTGAGGTGGCCCTGCGCTGTCCCGACGGCAGCTTTCTGAGCCACACCTACACCCACATCGACAGTTGCCTATGCCAGGACACTGTCTGTGGGCTCCCGCGGGCCCAGCCAGGCGCCCACAGCCGTGCCCGACGCTCCCCGCGGCATGTGGGGCAGAAGTAGGCACGGTTGGCCAGCCCCTTCCTGTTGACACTGGAGCTTCCTCTCCTGGATGGGTTTCCTCTCTGGGGATATTTATTTTCTGAATCTGTCTCAATTCTTTGCTTTCCAATAATAAACTCAGACAGACATGCTGTGCTGGTGTGCTGGTGTGCCTCAGGGGCCCAGGTTGGCTACTATACATGGTCAATGTCTGGCCGGTTCCAAGTGCCCTAGCCCTCCCTGGGCTCTGCACACAGGACATGGGGACAAGGCCCATGTGCCATACAGTGGGCTTACCTTTGGCAAAATATGTACAAAATGTATTGTCCCGTGACTGCAATGCCCCTGCTGGGCTGCGAGATGCAGCCAGACCTCCTCCCAGGCACCCTCCAATCCTGAATCTGTGAAAAAGGCCACTGGACTCCTTCACAGCCAGTTTCCGGGTTTTCAGCTGTTAGAGATGCCTTCATCCAGTCCCGAGGGGCCCAGGTGGCTCTGGGGAGAGCATACACATGTGCAAACATTTGCATGGGTGCACATGCGTGAAAGCCTGCACTTGCACACGTGCTTTCATGAGCCATGTTGGCTGACATGTGCCTCACCCTGGGTCTCCACACTGCACCGATGGGGGATAGTGTGTTGGCTTCCATTGCCAAGTGATAAATAGTGGCCATGAGCTGGTGGACCTCCTGCGGCTGAGCCATCAATACCTTCCAGCCAAGTCACAGAATTTCTGTGGGCTGTGTGTGTGTGTGTGTGTGTGTGTGTCATGCTCATGCCTGATTGGACAGCTAGCCCTAGCCTTTCTGGGTAGAAGCTGCCAGGCCCAGAGCAGTACCTCATGTTGTTTAGGGAGGAGCTAGGTATTATGGGGGTCCTAGTCCCTGGGCAGGGCCTGAAGTGTCCTTGGAGGGTACCAAGTTTTGTCCCCAGGGCCTGCTACTGAGGGGTAAAGGCAGCCCCATCTTACACCTGACAAAATGGAAACTCTTGGGAGGGTGGACACTGCCAGGCTCTACAGCTGATGAGGGGCCAGTTGGGGTTTGAACCACATTCTCACTTCCTACTCTCCAGTAGCTGACAGTTGCCCTCACATGACCCCATGAGGATCTCAGTTGGGGCAGGAGCCGTGGGCTCCAAAGGCCTGTTGGGACACCCCAGCAATCAGTGCCACTGGGGTTGTGGGGCCTGCTTGGTCCTAGGTAGCTTCCATTGTTCCACCTGGCCTGGGAGAGCCCCTAGAACAGCGATTCTCAACCTGTGGGTTGCAACCCCTTTTTGAATGAAAAAAATGAAAATACATTGCGGCATTAGGAAGGTTGAGAACCACTGCCCTAGAAGCACCCATGCACCTCCTCTGGTGGCCAGCTTGCCTCCTGGGTGGACCTCTTGGGGGTCAGCTTACCTTGGAGCCACCAAGGCCCCTCCTAGGGCAGATGCCAGGTACATGGGATCAGTGCACCTTCAGCATCAGTGCTGTTGTGCAGCTGTGTTCCAGCCTAGCCTAGCCCAGCCCAGCCCAGCCCAGCCCAGCCCATCACTTCTTGGCCTGGCTGTGCTCCTCTGGGTCAGTCAGCTCCCTATAGGCCAGATGACCTGCAGGCTGGGGCAGGGGGCAGACTCTGGTCAGCTTCTTCATCTGCCTGCAGCTTGCAGCTGTGAAGAGGGGCTCTGAGGGCTATTGGGCTGCTCTTCCTGCCATACCTTTTCTGAAGGAGGGGCTACCTCATGGAGTTCAGCAGCATGGGGACCCCCTATGCCAGCCCTTGCTTGGATAGCTCAGGTCCCTTCCCACTGTGGGACTTGCCCATACCTACAGCAGGTCCCTCCCCTCCCAATAGGAGGCCCCAACTCCACATCAGGCCCTACCCCTCCCCATAGCAGGCCCTACCTCCACATCAGGCCCTGTCCCTGCTCACAGTAGGCCAAGCCCCTGCCCAAAGCAGGTCCTGCACCATGACACAGCAGACCCTGATCTTTCCCACTGCAGGCCTCTCTCCTCACCAGAGCAGGCCACCCCTCTTCCCTAGGACAGCCTCTTGGCACTGCCCATCACAGTACTGTCCACCACAGACCTTCCACTCTGGTGCTCCCTGCCAATAACCAGCGGTGTTGAGGGCCAGTGGGGCAGAGGGCAACTGCCCCTTCAGAGGGAAGTGGTTTGGTGTGGCAAGGGGGTGGACAGATGCAGGGCAGTCACCTGGGGGTTCAGGAGGAGGTGCAACTCCCAACTTTATCTCCACCCCTCTTCTTCCTCCCCAGCTTATGCCCTCAGCTGTGTGCTCTTGGGTCTGCTGGGCAGGTGAGCTAGGGGGCAGGACCTCTGCTCACAGGTGGGCTGACCCCTGAGCAGAAGGAGCTAGGGTGTGAGCAGGTCAGGTGGTCAGCCCCCACCCTCCTGGAGTAGCTGGGAGAATTAGGGCCAAGTTCTCATTCTCTGGGATGAGCCACTGTTGGCTCAGGGACCATTGCCACTTCTGAGAGCAGATGGAAGACAGGCCCAGCACATGGCACTACTCACTGCCACTTATGTCTCCCACTCATGTGGAATTCCTGCTGTTCCACAGGCCAAAATGAGCCTTGAATATGGCTATATCCAATTCCTAGTGCAGCATTAACAAATAGCCACAACCTGTGCTGCTAAAAACAAGGGAAATTCATTCTCTCCTGTTTGGGAAGCCAGAAGTCTGATATCGAGGTGTTGGCAGGGTGGCACCCTGACCAGGGGCTCTGGGGGGACCCTTCTTGCCTCTCCAAGCTCCTGGGGATGCCAGTGCTCCTTGGCTTGTGGCCACATCTCCCTAGTCTCTGCTGTTTTTACCTGAGCTTCTCCTTTGTGTGTCTTATAAAGGACACTTGTCATAGGATTTAGGGTCCATCCAGCTAATGCAGGATGATCTCATCTTGAGGTCCTTAATTTAGTCACATCTGCAGAGACCCCTTTTCCAAACAGAGACACATTTACAGGTCCCAGGGAAAAGGACAGAGACAGTTCCTTTCTGGGGACATTGTTCAGCCCCTGACAATGGCAAAGCCCTGATCAGCTGGAGCCCGGGGTAGGGCTATGTGAGCAATCGAGGGCCTTCCCTGCACTGTGCTGTGCAGATGACTCCAGATGCAGAAAAAGGGGGAAGGCTTAGCCATCTCAGTTTTGAAACTAGTTTAATTTTGATACCAAAATCATTTTAAGAGAAGCACAAGGAAAGAAAATGGTAGACAAATTTTGCTTCTGAGGACAGAGCAGAAACCTGAGGGATACTAGCACATCGTTTTACAAAGCACAAGTCAGAAGATGTCCACGTATTGTTCCATGTGGAACTGGTCCTGTGGTGCAGGCCTCCCAGGCCATCCTTCCTCTTCTCAGGGAGAGTGGAGTGACTTATAGGATTTCCCAAATTAGAAAAAAGAAACACGTTATGGCATCCCACCTGCCTGTTCTCAAGTTCTCACAGGACTGTAGGGATATAGCACCCCACGCTCAGACATGGCAGTTTAGCTTCATGTGCTCCCCACGGAAAATGGCTCTGAGATGGAGTTCTTTTCTCTGAGGTCCTGCCTGCAGCCTGAAGAAATGCAGAGACACTCTCACAAAAGAATACCAGAGGACCAGGCCTGGGTTGCAGCTGGAAGCTTGAACACCTGTTGAGGCATTCAGCTGCTGTTCTCTGTTCCTCTCCCATCATTAACATTATAATCACTGGTTTTGTTTTAGAGAGAATTAGGCAAGCAAGAGCAGACCACCTGGCTCCCTTATGTTTTAACCCCAAACAGAATCAATTGTATATGTGTTCAACAAGGATGGTACTGAATTGGGATCTTAATGACAGTTTCCTGATCTTTTACTTCACTTCTTTTCACCTGTATTGAATTCTTACTGAATGTTTGAGAGTATATAAGATAATCAGTAAAGTTGGGCAGGGTCGCTGTGCCAGAGAGAGTCTTGACCTCCCTTTTTGCCAATTATTCCATCTGTGGTTTCTTTTCTCTGCGTCTTCTTTTCTCTGTGTCATTGATCAGAGAGCTCCAGGGAACACTAACATAGGACTGAGCTGACCTCATGGGGTACCTGTTCTTTGCTCCTCCACAGGGTGGCGTTTGTCCAGGTCGAGTGCTCCCTGCAATTGGGGTGAGTCTGGCTAATTTGGGGTTCAGCAGTAGGTAAGCTCACTTTCATGTAAACCTGACCTGTGGGCTCCAGCTGGAATCTATCAGCCCTGAGATGGTGCTAGGCTGGTCCTACATATACACCCAGCAACTCCCTTTGCTTATTCAAACATTTGGGGCCCCTCCCCCACCCCAAACCCTATGAACTTTAACATATGGGGTTTGTCCTGGGAAGTTAAGGATGGCTGGATGACAGAAACTCTAGCAATGTCATCAGTCACAGAAGGCTCCGCTATGCTGCAGTAACAAAACCTCCAATGTTGGTGGCTCATCAAAGGGGCTTTGGGCTCACTCATGACACATCTCCACAGTGGTTCTCTCTGAGACCCTTGCTAGGGGGAGCTCTCATGCCAACATCATGATTTGTCATGTGGGGGTGTGAGCCTGAGCATCTTGCCCAGTGCTCTGAGTGGTCCTGGAGGGCAAGGGTTTTGCCTGGCTTCTGAGTCCTCAGAGGGTCCTGGAATCCCAGGGCCTTGCCCTGTGTCTGAGTCTGCAGACAGCCTTGGAGCCCAAGGGCTCTTCCTGATAAGAGTCTGAGTCTGGGCAGGCAACCTGGAGCTTGAGGGTCCTGCCTGGTGTCCAAGCCCTCAGACTGCCCTGGCTCTGCCTGGCCATCCAGCATCTGGGTTGCAATACTGCCATTAAACAGAAGAGGGAGCCAGAGATGTTTGGTGCCTGCAGGACCCGGTTTTTTTTATTTTTATATTTATTTATTTAATTGTTGGAGATTCATTGAGGGTACAAGAAACCAGGTTACACTGATTGCATTTGTTAGGTAAAGTCCCTCTTACAATTGTGTCTTGCCAGCAAGAGGTGTGTCACACACCGAGACCATATCCCCTCTCTCCTTCCCT